GTAATTTCTCTTCTTGTTTCTTTTCTTTTTCCTCCAACAACTGTTGTAATTTTTCTTCTTGTTTCTTATCTTTTTCCTCCAACAACTGCTGTAATCTCTCTTCTTGTTTCTTTTCTTTTCCTCCAACAGCTGCTGTAATCTCTCTTCTTGTTTCTTTTCTCGTTCTTCTTGTTTATTTTGCTGTTCTTGTATTGCTGCCATCAGATCTGCTAAGCTGTAGTTTGATTTGCCAACTCTCGTTTCCATCTTTTGTTTATTATTTATTTATTTTCTATCTGCTTCTTACACTAATTTGTTACGTCTCTACTCATTTGATAATTTCCGGTAGAACTTCTTCCCGAGAAACTTCAGTGATACAAGTCTTTTCTTAAATAAAACTAGTTTATTCTTTCTCAATACAACTTTTCAATACACTTAATTTCCACAGTCAGTTAAACACACGCTATAATTCTCAACGAACGATTCACACACTTTACTTACTACCGCGCTTGACTCAATTGTCCGTCTATATCATGAATCTCTCTGTCCGCTATACCATACCGATTAATTGTCTGGCGCACTTATATACAAGAATAGAGGGCGCCTAGCAAATACTGAATTATTCGTGATGTTCCCCGATCTTTCTAGAACGCATTACGTGTTACCAGAGTCACGTGTTTTCCGCTGTCGTAACAATATACTGCTCTCCCTCATCTATTTTTGTGTAGGCCTTGTTAAAGAAAAATTCCTCTCAAGAGGAAATATTTCACAGAGCACAATGTGTTAAGGACGTAATATTTATTTTTATTTGACGAGTAATTAGGCAACTGCTTACCAAGAACACTAAAGAAAATAATGTTAATTCACGGAACATTCAACGAAGACCTAAGTTTACCGTATAATTTACCCCTTAACTTGTGTGCTGGTTGGTATTTATTTTAAAGTAAACAACAATAATCTGTTTATTTCTTGGAAAACGAAAACAAACATCCATTCGCACCTGAGAGAACCAAATATGACTTTTAACTGCTTTTATTCGCCATTTTCTTTCACCCATAGTGGTATTATAAAGATACACATGTACACAGCGTGGTCACAAGTAAATAGACACCACCTTTTCAGAAAAAATGAAAATTTTCAGTCATATTCACATGAATTGATATATTTATAATTTAATTAATATCTAGCAGATCTTCCTTTCGCTTCGTGGATTTCGTTGAGCCTTTGGGGCATCGTGAGAATCATCTCGTCAATTTTAGATTGTGGGATTTTCGCCCACTCTTGCTTCAAAACTTGGAGTAGATCGCTCTTCGAAGTTGGTTGTTTCTTGACTTGCAGGCCGAGTATGGCCCAAAGGTTTTCGATGGGGTTCATGTCGGAAGATTGGCTCGGCCAGGGCAACTTCTGGATACCATTTTCTTCCTGCCACTTTTGGGTGTTTCTAGCAGTGTGACACGGTGCTCCATCTTCCTGGAACAGTGTTGTGTTCTTGTCCATGAAACCCGAGGAATAAAGTGGCAAGAGTCCTTCCTCCAATATTTCGACGTATTTCACAAAATTTATGTTGCCAACGCACTCCACTAAGCTCGATCTCCCGCCAACCCAAACAGCTCCCCAAACCATCACGCTGAAACCACCATGCTTCACAGTTGGCTGCAATCTGTTGAGCCAAAACTCTTGGTCAGGCATTCTCCAGACCCATATCCTTCTTCTGTCCGAAAATTGAGCGAATCTTGATTCGTCTGAGAACAACACGGTCTTCCAAAAGTCCAGAGGCTTGGTCATCATATCACTTGCCCACTTCTTTCGTCTGACTATGTTGGCAGGTTTTAATAAGGGCTTCCGTCTAGCTGCTCTGCAACGATAATCCAATCTGTGGAGAATCCGTTGAACAGATTTCGGGCTCATCCCACCAACTTTGGCCACTTCTGCAATCGTTAATCTGGGATCCATTTCGATGCTTCTCTTGACAGCCCTTTTTGTCCTCTCCGATGGACCAGGACGACCCGAACGCTGCTCAGTTGTTTCCATGCCGTGTTTCCTGAACTGCACGATGATTCTGTTGACTGTCGAAAGCGGGATTTCCAAGTTCTGCAAAATTTGCCGCTGACTTAATCCAACAAAATCTGAAAATTCGAGAGAACCTTGAGTTCTAGGCATGTTGTCTTAGTCTTAGTCTTAGTTCCTCCCGTTCCGTTGGGAACATTGATCAGCGAGACCTAGCCATCTGCCTCTGTCATGAGCGGTCTCCACAGCTTGGTCAAATGTTAGATCCACCAGTTCCAAATCCTCTTTAAAAGTTCTTCGCCATGTCTTCTTTGGCCTTTCTCTCCCCCTTCTCAAATTTGGCGGCACCCACTCCATGGATTTATTTGCTGGTCTTGATACTGGCATTCTCAGTACATGTCCTGCGAATCTAAGCCTTCTCTTATTAACAGATTCTTGCAGGTCCCTTTGGCCTGCCCTTCGCAAAACTTCTTCATTTCTCACATGATCTCTATATGATATTTTTAAGATTTTTCTCAAACATTTCCGATGGAATACATTCACTTTATTCTCCATAGCTGCTGTTCTTCTTCAGGTTTCGCTAGCATACAAGGCTGTATGTATTACAATGGCGGATTATAACTTGAGTTTAGTCTCTTTTCTGATGTTGCTCGAGTTCCAAATAGGTCGAAGCCTATTGAACACACCTGCAGCTCTATTAAGTCTTGCTTGAACATCAATGTCTGATTCTCCATTAACCGCTACCTTACTACCCAAATACACGAAATCTTGTACATCTTCAATCTCTGATCCTTCAATCGTTACTACCCTGTCCAGATTGTGTCCGACTGTCATGGTCTTAGTTTTCGTAGCATTTATTCTAAGCCTAACTTTCTTACCAATCTCTTGTAAATACCTTGTCATATCTTGGATGTTCTGTCTATCTTTCCCAATTAAAGCGATATCATCCGCAAAGTCCAAATCAGTTAAAGTTCCATCACCCCACATTATCCCATCACCAACATTCATTGCTTTTTTCATGACAAAATCTACCACCAAAAGAAAGAAAAAGGGAGATAACACACAACCTTGTCTCACTCCATTAAAGTACTCCGTGGTCTCAATGTTAGTTTTTACACAACTACTGGAGTTTTCATAAAGACTTTTGAATATGTTTATAAATTTTTCTGGTACACCATATAGTCCCACAATTTTCCACAACGTTTCTCGATGGACACTATCAAAGGCTTTACAGAAATCGATAAAGTTTAAGTTCATTTGACCTTTAAATTCTAAAGTTTGTTCTATGATGTTTCGTAAGGCAAATATCTGTTCATTACATGATCTTCCGCTTCTGAATCCAGCCTGTTCTTCCCTTAATAAGGCGTCCACTTCATCTTTCAACCTTTCTAATAATATATAACAAAAAGTTTTACCAGGTATTGATAGTAAAGAAATTCCTCTCCAGTTGTTACAATCACTTAGGTCTCCTTTTTTCGGAATAGTGACAATCACACCCTGACCCCATTCTGATGGAATAGTTTCCTGTCTCCAAATCTTGTTTAAAATATTTAATAATTCTAGTATCAACGCCTGACTTTGT